ACTTTCTTTTAGGTCCCTTACATACTCGGGAACTTCAACTCGGGAACTCAACGAAATGAACCTTGGCTGATACCAATAAAAATGTAATATACAAACAATTGGTTTTTAAAAACCATATTTGGCATAGGTCCAAGAAATATCTCCCATTTCATAAATAACAATGGCCACACAGGTTATTTTGGATAAAACATCAAATAGTTTAAATCTAGGACAATAAACCACTACAGCACCCTTTACCTTTATTTTTATATAAAAAATACTTTCTGACCCAGAGCAAGTTTTTCTATTAGCTTCCATAATAACAATTGCTGGGTTACTTCCTCACTAAACACATGTAAACTAGAAACCATGCTCTTAGTGCTTCACATTAACCGACCAATTCCACTATTGCAAGTAAACACCATACGCCCCTTATTATTTATTACTTTATCCACCGAACAAACCAGTCTCGCCATGGGCCTAGAATTTCATTCAAATACTTTGAACCATCAGTTTGGATTTTATAGTATTTCAATATATATTCAGGTTTATTTTATCACATCATCATACACAACATACGGGGCAGTGGGGACCGTGTTGACCGACACAAAAAGAAAGGACACTTTTTCGGAGTTGCTGGAGTGGCTATCACTGCGACAATTGACACCGAATCTTCTTCGACTCGTACTGTTTCCCTAACCATATTTTTCTCAGCAAACCTAGAACTTCTAGATGACCCAACTTCTGACATTCCTGGCATCCACATTTTTTTAATATATAGGTGGAGCTGGTACATGGAATAGAGAAAAGAAAGAGGACTATTAGGCACTTTCCCGCTAGCAAAAGTTAACTCGACATTTCGAAAGTGGCAGAAGGTTGCAACCCATAAACTTGGCCAGAGCCATCCATGTTATTGGCCAGTCGGGTGTAATATTGCCTCATCAAAGGCACATGAAGTGTGGCTCTCACGTCCGACTGACCAGTTTGCATTCCAGCGGTCTTTTGAACCGTCAACTCTTTATCGATAACAACCTAAAACATTGAACCTAAAATTCAATCCTTGCAATTCCCTTAAGCATTTCCTACGAGAGAGTGCGTTAGCATTACAGTGTGATGTGTCTTCACGAAGAGCAATCTCAAAGTCATCCACAGGCTCAGTCCAAATTTCTTCTGTGCAGTCCTGTATCATCATACTTTGGCCCTTTACGTACAGATTGTCTTTGAATTGTTCGTTAAATTTTTTCATGTTTGCTTCATTGTCGAATGTTATATAGAAGCAGTTAGGTTAGGTGTTCTGAAGGCATTTTATAGTAGGTATTGTAAAACTACTTACATTCTGTATATGGTA